ATAGGCTGCATTGTGGCCTCACCCCCAAATTCATATGTTGAAGCCCTAAACCCATTCTCTTAGACTGAGACTATATTTAGTCTATATATAGACTGAGGCCCACATTCTATCCACTGAGCCAAACCAGCTAGGGCTGGAGTCAGGGTCTTTACAGAGTACTATTACATCTGTTTAGAGAAAAGGACACTGAGGTTCAGTGTGATTAATAACTTGCTCTAAGTTGTCCAGACATCCAGGGAAGCCCAGAACTTAAAACCCATGTCTATCCAACTCCAAGGCCCATGCCCAAACTTGTGCTCTACTTCACTGATCCACATCCCTACCCCAAGCCCCATCACCATGGGAACCACAGGACACTGCCTCAGGCACTCACCCAAAACTTTTAGAAAGACTGTTTCCTGGGCCTCCTCGGGGGTGACCACCACGTTACATCGGTACTCTCCTGCGTCTCTCAGCTGGACTCCAGGAAGGTGCAGTGAGACGTCCCCCTTCTCTAGCCCCGCTGGAGACACGCTGGCTCCGAGTCTGAATGCCTTTTGAATGTCTGCATACATTTCAAACACCTTGTGCTCTGTTTCATTCGCCTGATGCTTCAGATACCAAATAATACCCGACTTGTTGATGTCCAGGGGTGTGGAACCAGGGACCTTGCAGGAGATGGTGACATTGTCATTCAGCAACACAATTTGATTCTTCCCTTCCATCTCCACCTTCAAGAAATCTGTGGAAATAAGAAAATTCAGTTATGGGAGAAACTGAAACTTAGGCCTTGTACTCTGAGACACTATCCTGTAACTAAAAACGAATTCCCTATCCTTCCCCAGTAGGGGGACGTGCAGCAGGCAGCCGATCAATGAGTCTCTCTTCATTAATATTTCTCTTCTCCCTCGCTCCCTTCCTCTCTGAAATCAATAAAGATACATATATTTTTTAAAAGAGCATATTATGTAGCAGGCACTCTACCTGACCCTTTATAAAAAACAAAACACAAAAACAAATTCCTTTTTTGGGGGGGAAGCGGGGCGGGGAGGGAGGGAGGTATCTCATGTATAGAAGCCCTTTGTTCATGCATGTCTCTGTCTTCCTTTTCTTTTCTTTTCTTTTTTTTAAAATATATTTTATTGATTTTTTACAGAGAGGAAGGGAGAGAGATAGAGAGTTAGAAACATCGATGAGAGAGAGTCATCGATCAGCTGCCTCTTGCACACCTCCTTCTGGGGATGTGCCCGCAATCAAGTTACATGACCTTGACCGGAATTGAACCCGGGACCCTTCAGTTCCCAAGCCGACGCTCTATCCACTGAGCCAAACCGGGTTCGGCTTGTTTTTCCTTTTCAATATTGTTTTGGTTGTTCTGGTCTTTTGTCATTTCTTAGAAACTTTCAGTTCCGTTTAATTAATTCCTACAATTCCACCAAGGAAAGCTTAGAGCTGAGGTCTGTTAAGATACAGGTGGCTGAGGACGTCAGGCGGGACCCCCCAAAGGAGATGAACATAGTAACAACCATCCCGGCGCCCCACCCCAACTCCCGCCATCTTACCTGCGGCCGACACGCAGCACCACAGAAGCAGAAGCAGCCGCAAGAAGGCCTGCAATAAGCGGCTAGCCGCCTCCAAGACAGTCATCCGCGAGGAGGAGCAGCAAGCAGGCACGGGTCTGCACTGGAGGCCGTCGCCAAAGTTCTTGCTAAAAAAATAGAAGTCCTGGGTCCGAAGGAGGAATCTGCAAAACCGCGGTTTAGGGTGGTGGCTTCCTTCGTAATAGAGTGGCTTCTCCGCGGCTCCTAAATCTCTGCCCCTCCTGCAGCCTGACGGATGAGTAACCAGGCGCGCAGCCTCGGAAGCACCGGCCTCCCCAGGGCTGGAACCACGTTTGGGGGTGCAGTACAGCGGGATTGGAAATTTCTGGCCCATGCTCTACTTCACTGATCCACATGTCTACCTCTCAAAAGAAGTTTCAATCCTTATACTGTTGCTATTTGTTGGCTAATGAGTTTGCCGACCACTGCCTTGGTTGGAATGATCCCCTCCCAGCGGCAGCCTCCGGGTCTCAGCCTTGGAAGCTCCCAAGTCCCAGCAAAGCGATCGCCCTCCCCTCGCTCACCTCACCCTAGTTACCCAGCCTCAGGTCTCAACTTAGGAAGCTCCCGCATCCCCACCGAGCGATTTCCTCACATGGCAGCCTGGGTTTCTCCGCCTGGGAACCTTGCACTTCCCGGACAAGCGATCCCTTCTCCCCACCCCACCCCACACCCCCACCCCACCAGCCTCTGTTCTTTTCCTGGGAAGCTCCCACGTCCCCACAGAGTGATCGCCGGCACACACACCCCACAGCTTCAGGGTCTCAGATTCTGAAGCACCAGTGTCCCCACGGAGTGATCCAGCCCCACCGGCAGCCTCTCGAGAATCTTCCAAGCCCTCCTTCAAGTGACTGGAGGCAGGACTGAGGCGAGCATAGAGGATGGCCTCAGCTGTGAGAATGGAGCTCGCTCCTCTGCCAGAAGTCACGTACACAGAAACCACTCCCATTGGGCGGGGACTTGTGACAATGGTGCCTGCTGGGCACTCCCCGCCCTGATTCCTCAACACCGGCCCTCCTGAGCTCACCCAGGAAAGCTTTTTCTCCTACAGTTTTCACCAATAAGAGTGCCCTAATCAGTTCAGCTCAGTGAATAGAACATCAGCCTACGGAATCAAGGGTGAAGGGTCCAATTCCAGTTAAAGACACATGCCCAGGTTTCGGGTTCGATCCCCAGTAGGGGGCATGCAGGAGGCAGCCAATCAATGATTCCCTCTCATCATTGATGTTTCTATCTCCCTTTTCCTCTCTGAAAATATATATATTTATTTTTTCCTAATTTCTAAAAAATCAAACTAATTGACTATTTTTACGAGTTGCTTCCTATGTTGTAAGTAAGGCATCAAAACTCTGTTCCTGAATTAAGAAACTCTACCAGTTGTTCAGGTGCCTGCCTGTCCTTCCTGTAGTTTTCATTCTCAAATGCATTCCATGTGGGTGTAACTTACCCTGGAAATGGCAATACCGCTGTCTCTGGGCCTTGGGAGACTCTCCCTTCACCTCAACATCTTCCACCTCTTCTCACCCTCATTCCTAATCTCATTGGAAATTATTCTTTTGTTGTGTGTGTTGTTGGTGTGCTTTTATACTCTTTTAATGTATTTGAGAAGTGCAAATCATTTTGGATTTTTAAAAATGCACCCAAATTCAGAGATTTTTTATGCACAGGACAAACTTGTGCACTTTTTGTATGAACAATTTGGGTTTTCCTTCATGGGATTTTTAGGAACACTGCCTACACTTTATGAAAATTATATGGTATTCACCTTTGACAGGTAGAGCTTATCACTATTGATTTTATGAGGCTATTTATTACTTTCTAATGCATCCACTTAGAACAAGTTAAGTGTAAGGCTGCTAACTTCCATTCCTTGCCTGATTTCACTATGCAACGTGCACAAACACTACAGAATGCTTGTATATAGAAACAAAGAATAGTATGGAATACATAAGTTCCCTGTGGCTTATGGATATTACTGTCAGAGCTATTTATTGATTAATTTTATGGTAGGGCTAGTATGGATACCTATAACAATTGTGTGCTATTAAAACAATGAAGAATCAGATGACTCCGTTTGGAAGGATATTTTCTTTATGGTCAAAATATATGAAGAAGTAAAGTCTTGATTAAATGAAGATCACTTGACTCAGAATACTTAAATGTATTTTGTTCACATTACCACTAAACATATTGTCACTAAAATATTAATTGCACAAATATTATGTAATACAATGTAGTTTTTGTTGAATTCACTGAAGTTCTTCCACTTACATACCACTGTTTTATAAAGACATTCCAGCTTTAACATTCTTTGAGTTATACATTTGACTCTTGAATGACAAAACAATGAAATATGTATAAGGTTAAATTTCATTTATAAGCGGTGCAGGGGTTCAACCTTTTAAGTAAAAATACTTTCACACACTACCTCTCTCTCTCTCTCTCTTTTTTTTTTTTTAACTAAGTTTTAACATCAGAACTTTTCTTGTGGAGGGGAATACTTCAGGGCTTGACTTTTTGTACAAATTTTAACTAAAATATAGACTTGTTGCCGGAACCGGTTTAGCTCAATGGATAGAGCGTCAGCTTGGGGACTGAAGGGACCCGGGTTCGATTCCAGTCAAGGGCATGTACCTTGGTTGCGGGCATATCCTCAGTAGGGGGTGTGCAAGAGGCAACTGATCGATGACTCTCTCTCATTGATGTTTCTAACTCTCTATCTCTATCCCTTCCTCTCTGTACAAAATCAATAAAATATATTAAAAAAAAAAATAAAAAAAAAATAAATAAAATATAGACTTGTATGTCTTCAGGAAAATGGAAGTTAAAGCTTCTAATGCTTCTTATTTTAATTATCCTGCTAAAGATACAGTGATGTCTTCAGCTATAACTCACTTAAATTATTGGTAAAATAATTGATTTCTAGACTATTGTAAAACCAATAGATCTTGGTTATACAATAAAATGTGGATTAATTGGTTGTCTGAATCAGTTATTTCAAGTGTATCATCGTTAATGAAAGTATCAGTGGATGCAGCATAAAATTTCCTAGTATGAAGTGTCAAGCCTAACTGTGAATTTTGTTCTGTATCTTTAAGTAAATTTATGCTAATGTTCTCACGTGCTATCAACAAAATGTATGTACTTTTGTGAACTATGAATTTTATAATTAAATTTTACATATGACAACATGATTTGTACATGTATGACACTTTGTTTAAACTAGGGGTGTCAAACTCAATCAGAGAAGGGGCCAAAATCTAAAATCCAGCCTAAATCACGGGCCGAATGGTTTACTGAACAGTCATAAACAGTCATTGTGATGGAAACGCAGCGGAGTGCAGTGATGACAGCGCGGTGCGGGCCACATTGCAAGGCCTGGCGGGACGGATTTGGCCCGCGGGCCTTGTGTTTGACACATGTGGTTTAAACTATCAAATATTGGGTCATAGACTATGAATATCTATATATATAAAAGGCTAAGCAATTGTTCCACTGGTAGCTATGATGCACACTGACCACCAGGGGGAAGATGCTCAATGCATAGGCATGGAAACATGGAACAGATAATGAATCTCAGAGGGAAGAGGGTAAGGGAAGGGAGGGAAGAGGCTAACCAAAGATCTTATTTGCATATTAGAGGCCCAGTGCATGAATTTGTGCACCAGTGGGGTCCCTTGGCCTGGCCTGTGCCCTCTTGCAATCCAGGACATCTTGGGGGATGTCAGGCTGCTGGTTTCGGCCCAATCCCTGCAGGCCAGGCTGAGGGACCCACTGGTGCACGAATCCATGCACCTGGCCTCTAGTCTTTAACATTACTAGATGCTGCCAAATAGTTTCCAAAGTGGTTGTACTAATTTGCATTGCCATGAAGAGTGCTTGAGAGATCTTGCTCTGTATCCTCAGGAACAGTTGCTATTACAGAATTTTTAATTTTTGTCAATCTTGTGGATAAGTAATATCTTCTTGTGGTTTAAATTTGCATTTCTCTGGCCACTGATGACTGAATATCTTATATTCTTTTGAAGTGCCCATTCAGGTCATTTCTATTCATTTATCAATCTTTTTCTCATTAATTTATAGAAGTTTTATATATTTATTTCTGACTTCTTTGTTGTTTATTATATATATGGGTTCCAAGTATCTTCTTATATACTGTTTTCTCTTTTTCTTTTTAAAAATTTGCACCTTGAATCAAGTCCTTTATTTTAATGTAATGGAATTTTTATCAATACGTATTTTCTGGCATATAAGACAACTTTTGAAACGAAAAAAAGTCAACCGAAAATCGGGGGCAAAAGACCAAAATTGCACAAAAATTACCTGCAGATCTTGACGGCAAAGTAAGTCTTTTCTTTGAAGTGGGGGGTAGTCGTATACAGCGAATACAGGCCTAAACCTATGTTTTAACTGTAAAAATTAGGGGGTCATCTTATACGCCGGAAAATACGGTAATTTCCTTTATTGTTAGTGCTTTTTGTGCTTTGTTCAACTTAGTATTGATTTTTGTGAAGTGGAGGTAGGGGCTCAATTTCATTCTCCTCTCCCACATATAGATAGGCAGCTGCTCTAGCAGCATTTATTGCAAAGCTTACCCTTTCTACACTTGATCTGCAATGGTCACTTTGTAACATGCGTTAATATGTGGTAGAGCAAGTTCTTCCACTTTGTTCTCCTTGGCGAGTGTCTCATCCAGTCTGGCCATTTACATTTCTTAGACTCACACTATAAAGTTATATAAATAAGCCTGCAGGATGTTTTCTGTGTCATATTTAACTTATAAACCAATACATGAAGAATTAATATCATTACATGAAGTTATCTAATCTATTTAGGTATTTTATTGCCTTACAATAAAGTTTTACAATTTTTTTTTTTTTTGAAAAATCTTCTACATCATTGAGAAAAATATTTCTGGTTACTTATAATTTTATAGAATTGTAAAAAAAAAAGTTTTTAATTTTTGTTTTCTAATTGTTTGTATATAGGAGTATGACTTTCATATATTTATCTTTATATTAAGGTATCTTCTTAAATTCCCTTACATATTATAGCAATTAATCTATAGGTTCATTCTACCTAGATGATAATGTTATTTGCAAAGAGGGACAGTTTTTGTTTCTTTTTAATCCTTATACTTGTTGTTATTTTTTCTTATCTTATTGGCGCAGATAAGACCTCAAGTATAATGTTTAATATAAGAGATAGTGGTTATTCTGACTTTAATTGAGGGATTATTTACAACATTTCACAAGTAATGTGATAGTTGTTTGTTTGTTTTTTTGTTTACATATACATTTCTCCAGATTTAGAAAGTTCCCTTCTTGCCGTAACCGGTTTGGCTCAGTGGTAGAGCGTCGGTCTGCAGACTGAAAGGTCCCAGGTTCGGTTCCGGTCAAGGGCATGTACATTGGTTGCGGGCACATCCCCGTTGGGGGTGTGCAAGAGGCAGCTGGTCGATGATTCTCTCTCATCGATGTTTCTAGCTCTCTATCTCTCTCCCTTTCTCTCTGTAAAAAAATCAATAAAACATATATTTTTTTAAAAGTTCCCTTCTAGTTCTAATTTATTAAAGAGTTTTCTTTAATACTGAATGGACTCCAAGTTTTATCAAATACTTTTTCTGTATCTATTAGGTAA